GTCTAAAGATGGAAACTATAAACGTGACAAAAATGGTTGTAAAATAGGGCATCCTTACTTGTTTAACAGCCACCTGGCTTAGCAATGGAAACTGTGTTCCCTGTTGTGCTTGTAAGTAGAGGATCACCTGTATAGTATACATAAAATGAACACTGTATGGTATATTGCTCCTATCTAAGGGAGATGTTAAAGACTTAGTGAAAAATAGCAGCACATAATTTTTTCCTATCAAAAAAAGAAAAGAGAAGAAGAGTTTCTATATCTGGCCAGCTTTGCAGATTCCAGATTGTTTTTAATCAGGAAGTTTATCTCCCACTCTTATCTTTTGTTGTTTTAAAGAACGGTTGACTAAGAAAAAGTGAGAAGATTGAGGCTAGGGGAAAAAAGAATAGCCGAGCATTAAAAATGATTGCATGTATTACAACATGCAGCCGAGGGTTGAAAGAAAAGAACAGGCAGTAGCAGGAGCCCCTTAGGCCACAGCTCTCTCTGAGGTCCCAGACGGGACAAAGCATTGTGCTCTCCCACTACCTCCTGGGCTTGGGTCTGTTCCATATTTTTTCCAGAAAAATTCTTGGCAGGACCTGCTACTGGCTTTCCTTGGCTGAGTCGTAGGCATGCATTGCTCAGGGGCACACGCTACAAGTCTGCATGTTGTTGAATGAGTGGCCATGAAAGGAGAACCACCCGTATGCAGTAGGATTCATCGGGTTTTTATAAACTCAAGTTAGTCGGTCTCCAGGGAATTGACCAATTCATTTCCTTCTGCAGTTCGTCTAAATAGCTAAAATGTTTACCTAGTAACTATTCCTAAAAGGCATGGCTGATTTTAAGATTCTTAATTCTTTTAGATTACCTTCAGTTTTTATAGTTTAAAGATAGCTTTAGTCTAACTTTATAAAACCTTTACACCTTATATTGCACCTTACCTATGTTGGTTCTGTGTTTTACACAACTGATTATTTATACACTATACTGGTTAATAACTGAAATAAATATGATACTTGTTTCTAAACTGTTTGAGTGGCTAGAAGACCAGAATGCAACATCTTTATTTCTTTGAAAAACATGTTGGCAGGACATTTTCTTAAGTAGGGATTTTGATTTCATTAGTGATCAAACATGTTGAAATAAATCGATTCATGTTTCCAGTAGAAATTGAAATCTAATTGGCTCCACTACTCAACTCGCCATTCCCCAGGATCGATTATTGTTGATTTTGGAGTTTTATAATGCTAAGCACTCACTGTATATGCTTTTCAGATTTCAAGATTTCTAGTCTTTGAAAAATTGTTGATTTCTTTCTGCAGATAAAAATTGAGAATGTTATCCTGCCTATTATTTTCCTCCTTGGAAGGCCTCTTTAAGGCAGGGCCCACAGGAGACACCAAGTAAATATTACACTGTAAAAGCAAAAACGCTGAGAGGGAATTAAAAAACAAACAAAAAAAATTCTTTGTGAGCTTCGGACGGAAGAATTTCTGCCACTGCAATTTAATGTACTGAAGCAATAATGGCTAACAGGATTTATGTGTAAAATGTAATGTATTCTTTAAAAAATAGCAGCAAAACCAGAATACTTCAAACTTACATAAGAGCATGCATGGAAAAAAAAACCCAACCAGCAGTACCAGACATTTAAAAGACCCAAGGAAACCGGGGTAGGAGTGCTTGCAGAACTGTCATAAGAACTGGATTTCTGCCAAGAAGAGGTTGGCTCTGGGGGTCAGGGAATAGAGAGATTAAATGAAGCAGCTGGCCATAAGGACATCCTTGCAAGCTGTAGTTGCCGCTTGATAAATCAGCAAAGCAGAGTCTATACAACTGCCGAAGCTCATCTGAAAGGAATGGGCGGCCTTTAACAAACAAGCATGTTTCTTCAGATTGTGTGATGGAATCTGCACCTGCAGGAGCAGCCTCTCTCTCTTTCTCTCTCTCTGTGGGGGTGGGCAGAGGGAGTTTGAGCAATGCAGAGCTTTCCCAGAAAGAGGCCCGGGTGAAGAGCTTCCCTAGTAGTCCTGAGCTGCACGAGAGACAGAGGAAGAGGTGCAGGGTAGCCACACCCTAGAAACTCTCAGGATCTGCCTAGTAGGTGAGAAGGCTCGGCTCCAGTGGGCCAAGATTCTGTCCGTCAGGTGTAATAAAGGAGTCAAAGGATTGGACTCAACCGGATCTCTCTGTCTCATCGCTGGGCCTGACCCTGACAGGCTGCATCCTCCCTAGGCTCCCTAGAGGCCCTTCCTTGGCCAGGGAACTCAGCCAGGGATGAAGCCAGAGGAACGCCAGAGGGAGCTGCAGAGGCTGCCTGCCCTGTCCATCCGAAGCCCTGGTGGCCCTTGGGGGAGAGGGCGGCTGAGGCCTTGCGTTGGATCCTGCGCATGTGACCCTCTCGCGGAGGCCGTTATTTCCCAGGGTTTACGGAGGAGCCGAGATTTGGCTGGAAAGGCATTAAATGCATCCACTCTCCAAGCCCGCCTTGCGGCACAAATACAAATTGTGAATTTCTGGCCTTCTGATTGAGACCCCGAGAGGGAGAGGCCAGCAGCTGCATCCAGATGTGTCATTCAGAAGATCTGAGCGTGAAAGTTCCATACCCCCCTTCCTTCCTTCCTTCCTTCCTTCCTGGCGCCGAGAGCGCAGGAAAGCCACAAGCCCAGCCCGGAGGGAGGCCAGGATCAATCCTATTGCTCTGTCAGGATATCGTTTGAGGAAGGCTTCCTTCCACTTCAGTCACAGCCAAAAAGGGCCATTGTTACACAGTGTTATATCGCATTCAGTAAAACATAAAAGAATCAATTTGACACACTTTAAATATGACCATATTCTAAATCCACACAGATCCTGCCCGATTCTTCAAACTGTTTCATACCACTTTATGGAGAAAAAAAATCCTCGCAGCTTTGTCTAAATTACACTGAATCAAATTTTCAAATTTGTATTTAAAATCCCTAGCAAGGATTTCAACTTTTTCAGTCCAATATGGCAATTCATCAAGGTGTGCATTCTGTTAACATAGATCCTGTCTATGGTTTCCTTGCCAAGAGAGGCTGGAGAAAATAGCTGCAATCTTTCTTTCATTCCTGGTGGTCTTTAGTTTGCTTTACATTTAATATAGCAGCCTGCTCTAAAAATAAACCATATTATTTGGGCTGCAAGTCTACAGAAGCCTATTTAAAGAATACTAATACCTTCATTTATGTAATCATCGGCTATTTATTCTTCACTTATTCTTAAGCAAAAATAAAACCAGTTTTCTTTGTTTTCAGCTATAATCTAAATCAGCTTTATGTTGAGGAATATTAGTCCTTTCCCTGCAGAGACTGTTCTCCTTGAAAATATTCCTGTTGATTAATGAGATTAATGAGAGCCTGAAAGACGGCTTCTTGATTTCGTAGCTTGAGCCAGACGTAATGATACAACCGGCCATATAAAAAGACATCAAATGGCAGCGAGGAGGAGGAGGAGGAGGAGGAGGAGGAGGAGGAGGAGGACTGTCCTGTTTATTTGGAAGAGAGAATGAGAAATGAAAAAAAAATATCCAGGAAAAGACCACTGCAAATCACTGGTGGCCTTTGGGATGAGAATTTCCAGCACCAAGTGATGATGTAGTTGCAAATGGTGGTGACATGTGACCTCCATTTATTACTTACTCTTCATACTTCCTAACTGCTCATCTTCCTCCCCACATCAGTTAGCAAAGGGAATCCTGGCAGTCCCTGTTGGCTTCATTAAGTGAGGACCACACTCGCCATTTAGTGAGGATCTCTTGTGGCTGTGACATGCAAAGAGACCCTGAAACTGTACCCAAGCAACCAGGTGAAGGCTATGGCAGGTGCCATGGGCAGATAGTAGGAAATGTGGACAAATGTGGAACACTGGCAGGCAGGTAGGTAGGTGCCGGGGGTGGGGTGTCTTCACACATCCCAGGAGAAACGGTGCCTGGGGGTGGGGAGGAGAGCGATGTGCAGGAACGACTCGCAACTTCCTGGCAGCTCCCCTATTGACTTGGCTTGTGGGAAGCTCCCAAACGGGAGTCAGGTGACTGTGTTGTAATTGCAAATTGGTTGCCAAGAGCACCTGAATTGCAACCATGTGGGGATGGTGGGGATGCTGAGCTGTACAACTCTGAGGGTGGATTGTAACACCACCAGCCCCCCCCCTCCCCCTATTCAGCCCTGCATTGTCCTGGGTGACTTTGGAATAAGCAGTGTGAGGACTGCCTGAATTTTTATAATGCTGTCAAGAAAATGGCAAAGGTGTGCCCTGCAGGACACCAGAGATTTGAAAAAGATTTTAACTTCTATTGTCTATATTACAATGTCTCCTTTTGTTTTCAAAGATTAAATTATATATTGTCAGCTTTAAATGTGGAAGAGAACTCAAAGCTGAAATAAAACAAATGAATGGTTATTGAGGATTATACTTCATTGGCACCTCTGTGGAGACGCACGCAAGGAATTAGAGCAGAACTCAACCTAGAAGTCAGCCAATCTCACCTTTCTTTTGCAAAATTTGTACACTGACTTTGACTGAATTCCCCACCCCCCCAAGTGAGAAGTGCTCTCACTGCTCAAAGTCAGAGGTGTTTTTTGTTCAGAGGCAGACTATCCCCATGAAAACCATGACAAAAAGAAATACCTCAAGAACTAACCAGTGTGGTAAATATGCAAAGAAAGTACACATTTAATGCGCAGTTAAAACCAACACCCATGAAATGAAGGTGCTTAATCTAGGAAGATATATCATAGACTATAAACTGTGATTATATATAAAGCACCAGCAATTTATTCCAAGGCAATGGATTTCTTAAAACTTTCTCCATTGTTTAAATACAAGAGTAGTAAAGGGGATGAAGCTTTTAACCAAGCCACCTGAGTCTCGACGCCTTTCTCAGACTAGGAAGGGGTCAAACAACTGATATGCAAGGACTGCGGGGGGGGGGGGGAAACGATCAACGGACCACCACCACACTGCAGGAGAAGAAAGCTGCGCCTACCTACCTCCGTGATGTGGGGCGTTGGATTAAATCCACAGAGGCTGCACACCACAGTCCTGCACTCTGTGCACCTGTTGTAATTTGGAGGGTCTGCAGACCCCACATTCAGGCCAGTTTTGCAGAGAGGACACAGGGAGGCCGGCGGGGGCCCTTGGGGTGCTTCTGGTGGCCCCGGCCTCTTTTCTATGCCAGCCCCACCAGGCGCCTGGGAGGAGACCTGGGCAGGCAACGGCTTCCTCTGGGCCTCCGCCTGGCCGGCTTCCTTTTCTGCCACAGGAGGCTTTGCTTCCTTCTTTGCAGGCGCCGCCTTCGGAGATGGGGGAGGGGGGTCTTTTTTCAGGGCAGGGGGAGGGGCCTGCTTGGAGGGGGTCGAAGGGGCAGGTCCGGGTGCCTGAGCTCCTGGCTGGCCTGCCGGGGTGATCAAATTGGAAGCCTGGCTGAAAATCGAAGCCCCGAATCCAAAGAGCTTCCCAGTCACCGTTTCCGGAGGGGCTGCGGGAAGTGACTTGGGAGCATCGCTGCCGCCTCCTGCGGGAAGAAGGCCGAAACGCTTGGCTTGCTCCGGTGCTTTCGGAGGCAGTTGGGCCTGGACCTGAGGTCGGGCTTGGCTGGGCTTCACGCCCACGGAGGCTTGTGGTCCTTTTGGAGTTGGCTTGGCATCTGGTTTGGGATTCACCTGGGGCTGGATTTTCATGGAAGGCTCTCTGACTCCTGCTGCTCCAGCTTCCTTTTGGACGTCCGCATTTAAATCGGTCCCAAGCGGAGAACTGAGTTTTGTTTCAGGCTTTTGAGAAGACCCTTGAGCTAAAGTTCTGCAGTCTGGGGCGGCCATTTGATCCACGGGCGACTGTTGGTCCTGGGGCAGCTGGTCGTCTTCTGACCTTGGAAGAGGTTCCACTTTGGGTTCAGTGAGTAAAGGCCGGGTGCCCTTTGGTTTGGGGTCCAGTTGTGAAGGTTTCGTTGTGGCCTTGCTTGGGCCTTTCTGAAGAGCAGGTTGCTTCTGTTTATCCTCGCTTCCTGACAGCTTGGCCTGGCCGGGCTTCAGGGTGGATCCTGACAGCTTGGGTTCAGCAGGAAGAGCCTCTGGTTCTGCAGGAGAAGGCCTGGGCAGAGCAGGCTGCTTTGCTTGCACTGGGGGCTGTTTCTGCTCTAAGGACCTGGTCGCTTCGTGTTTTAGAGCCGTTTCTTTCTTCTTTGTTGCTGGCGGCGGTTGGGAAGCTGCTTTGGCTGGAGTTTCTTGCTTGGGTCCCGAAGGTCCAGAGCTGCGAGCAGGAGCTAAGTCCCCCCCTAAAGCTCTTTGCATCTGGCAGGTTAAACACAACCATTCTTTAACCTGTATGCATAATTAAAAAAACAAAAAAGACATCAAAACAGAATTATATCCTTGGCACCAAAAGATTCACTTTACATTATTTGGAAGGACTCACGGGGGTTTTTCTTTGCTTTCTTACTACTTTTTAGTTTCCCTTCTTAAATTTCCAGCTCCATTTCAATAAAAGAGTTTGCTCACAACAAATCCTTTGACTCAGCTACTTTATGATATCTTACCATTTCTGATCTGTTTTCTAAATCACGTCTTTAAAATCACCAAAACTACATTTAAATTACCTTGTTATATTTGTGCTGGTTGATTGCAAACACATGGTCTGTATTAACTCATTTTTGGTGGAGACAGAATCATTTGGAATCATTTTTTAGGTAAAAGTGGTTTGAAGAAAACATTTTATTGTTATGATTGGAAAACAATAACAACCTTTCAGTTCCGCTGTTAGGTGTACCATCCATAGTTGGAGTCAAGGCTTTTAAGGTTATTATGAGATTTAAGATGGCTTCACCTGCTTTTGAGTTCCTCTGGCCAGAGAAGTTCCCAAGGGGACAACGGGGCTGGCAAGCGGGGACTCAGAGGAAGGGCTACGCAAAGGCAGAAGGAACTCTGGTTGAAGGGAAACAGGATATTTAAACAACTTCCACATAAAGGGAAGAGTCGATTTGCTTCGACTAAAGAGGCTCATTGAGATGCGTTGAAACGAAGGGGCAGTGCATGCAAACAGAAATTAGGAGGCAATTTCTGACTTTATGCACCGTCAACCAGGTGGCCTCAAGAAAGACTGAATAGCAATCTGTCTGAAATGCTTTACCATCGTAAATCAGTGGGTTGGACTTCCAGTTATACTTTTACTTTTATTTTTATTAATGCTTCTGATCATGTAATAATGTTAATTTTCTTTATTAGAGACCACTGGAGTACAGAAATGTATGTAACAAATGAGAAACGGATTCAGTTCCCATTGTTAGGTACCAGGTTTATCACAAAACACTGGAAAATTGTATCCATTGTACTTTCAATAGATCCCTAGCTTCTTGAATCCCTAGCAAAGATTTTCAAAGAAAAAAAAAACTATATTTAGAGATAAATATATTGAAACTTTGTCATAATTTCTTAGCTATATTAACAATATTTTATCAAAAAGATTTCAAACCAAAAATACCAAATACGATTATTTATAATTTTTCCGTTTCTCATTAAGTATTCACATATGTATTCATGCGCGCATAGATTTGCGGATATCCATTAATCTTTCACTCTGACTGGGCAGGGAATATTTTCTTTACAACTTCTATTTTTAGATAGAAGCATGTCAGAAATTTTATAAATATATTTAACAATAAACAAAGAGCAGAAAGGTGAAGTCCAAAGCAGTTTCTTGAATTATTTATTTGCATGCACAGCTCTAGATAGGCCTCAACTCAATGCCAGGACTTATTATCTCTTTACCTCCACAGTTAATACCCTGCGTATGCAAGATCCATGGGATCTAGAGCTCCCACAGACCAGCAGTTTCCTAGTAATTATTCATTCAAGATAAATGATGTAACTAGATTATATTCATCCGGTTTGGCATTTCCACAACCCTTCAAAGGGCAGGTGGAGATTGGCAGGCAGAGGGAGAAATCGGACGTGATTATCCTTTTTAGATGTGAGGGTGAAGATAAATGAGCCCGGGGTAGGTCAGCAGTAGCCTTGCGAAGCTTGTGAGGTTTACTTAGGCAGTGGGATATTCAGCACTCAGAAGAATCTGTCTGCAATTGGAGAATCCCTAAGTTTTCGGTTCATTATGTAGAGCTTTGTAGTTACAGCATTCTAAGAAACCCCCCGTGGATGAAATTAGGCCTTGATCCCACAGTTGTTTACAGCAATTCAGCCTAGCCAAGGAGACCTGCCTTATACTATTTAAAATGTTATCCTTTTGCAACATTACTTCATTTATACATTTCACGTAGCAGCATGCTCTACTGGCTAAGGGGGCAGAAATGTCCACATCAAGTAGCTTTTCCATATTACAATCAGGAACTCACTGAAACTTAAGCTAGACGCAATGCTTCATTTGTTGAAGCCCTGCAGCATCTGTTTCTGATTTTTAAATGAACTTGTAAGAAAGTTCGTAGTTTAATACGCATTAGAAACTTGTAAGTAAAGCAGGATTGATTCAAGATTTGGGACATCAGCATCATAGAAAAATCCCGTTAAACTCTTCACTTTTGGCATATAATGTCTTTCAAATACTTCTGTAGGAGAACTGAAGAGTTCAAATTCTAAAGATTATTGAAGCAAAATGCATTATCGTAACATTGTTTATATGCATAATGCCCTAATATACATCACATATAATAGACATCGGTTGAAGTATTTTATGTATGTATGAGGCTAGCTGAACTCCCATTAGGCTACCTACCACAACAGGTAAGTGCTTGAACAGGTTCTAACCAAGAAAGCATCACTTTGTCTCTTCTTGTAACCTGAGTGTATTACCCTCTTGCAGGTAGAAGATTGGGGGGGGGGGGGGAAACTAATCAGAGTATGTACCAAATATAGTGCCAAAGGACATTTATCTTCTGTACTGTCAGATTAAAGTATACTATTATTGCCTTCTGAGAGAGGATTAGCCTGTCTGACCTAAAATGGAATCAGCCAGACTTCCTGCCAGTGTATTCCGTAGAAAACATCTCAAATCATGTGACTCTGTTACACCAGCAAATCGTGGTTGCCAGGCAACATTAATGCGGGTGCCGATGAAGATCTGAATTTGCTATCTTTAGGGATGCAGATCTGAGGTGCAATTTGCTTGGGTGAAGAAAACTGATGAGAACGTTTGATAGCGATGATACAAATACACAGAGATCCTTTAAGAGATTTGTTTGAAATAATGAACTGATAAAACAGAAATTAAAATGGTTTGAGATGTGAGACTCTTGGCAAGAGATTGGCTGCCCCTAACGAAATCTGGGAAAGATGTGTTTGTAAGGGGTTGGTTTTAAGAGCTTTAATTTGGAGGCTGTGCAGGAAGGGCAAGAGAACCCAAGAAACGGTGAACCACCAACGAATCTTAGAAAGGGACTTGGAGGCCCATTTGGGATGAGAAGGAATCCCACAATGATCAAGGAAATGCAGGAAAGGATGGGCCATCTGAGACAGCCATGGGTTCCGCTGCCTCTACAGAACCGCTCCGCATAGCCAGAACAAACAGCTAGAAGACTCAGTAATGGAAGATAGGATTTCTTTCATAGACATTATCAAAACCTGTTCAGGTGAAACTCATGGATAGAACGCAGGGATTCAAGGATGCCCTTTATTGAAAAGGAAGAGGCCAGCCAAAATGGGGTACGCAGCAGCCACAGGTTGATAAGACTAGGTCTTCGCCAGAGTTGAATGCAGGAGACGTATTGCATGGCAGACCAGAGAAATTAGCGAGAGGACAACTGTTGTGAGGAAGAGCAAAATGCTGACAAGTGTTTTGTTGGATCTGTGTATTTTGGGTGTTATAGTTAAATGTTACGTTCAGATAAAGAGATATTACTGACAAATAGATTTCCTTTTAAATTCTCTTCTGTTTTAAATGCATGACTCATGAAAATACTTTTTGCTAACACATTCGTCAAAATTTTACTAAGATAATCCTCCTTCAGGGCTCTATGGACATATTACATGCAAACACCTAGTATGAACCTTGAAAGAAAGAAGTATCTGATGTATAAACAACTCAACAAACTTGGGCATGGATATACAAAGGTAGTACTTGAACTGTGTAAAATTAAGAATGGGAAAAAAGTAGAGCCAGATAACAGGACCTTATCCAACTTTACAAAAAAATGCACAGTATATCCAAAAAGAATCTGGAAGAGATCCCCAAACAATACAGCTAGAAAATGTTGAATTTAATATTACTTCCACCCTAGAAAAAAAGCCAGATTGTTTATCCCCTCCTATTACAGTTTAATACCTGACAGTTTTTTTTTTAGAATTTCAGGTTTCATTTCTGGAAACCACTGTGATGACCTTGGGCAAGCCGCATCAATGACAGGCCATCGTGATTTTTAAGGAAACATAATGGTATCTCAAAATTCTACTAAAATTAAAGTTTAAACTTGTATGGGCAAGGAAAAATAGGGACTGCTATAAGATTATATTTAAATTTTGTAAGTGCCTATATGCACATGAAATATACATTTGCTTCAAGGTGCTGGTTGTCACCTTTAAAGCACTCCATGGCTTGGGATCAGGTTGTCTGAGGGACCATCTCCTGCCGGTCACATCTACCCAACCCACCAGAGTGGGGAGGCAAGGAATGTTGCAGGTCTCATCCCCTCAGGCGATACACCTGGTGGGACCCAGAAGAAGGGCCTTCTTCTGTGGTGGCTCCCTCTCTCTGGAATATCATCCCCCCAGAGATTAGAATGCCCCCCGCCAGCACTCTTCCGGAAGGCGCTGAAGACCTGGTTCTGCCAGTGGGCCTGGGGAACCCAGAGCAGGATG